GCTTTTTAGATTCAAGAAAACCTAGTAATCATATGAGATTGTTTTTTAAAAAATTGTTCCAAGTTACTTGCCTTGCTCTGGAGTAGAAGTGAGTCAGTACTTACCTGTGAAAGCCTTTGATTTTTTTTTGATCGATTAGGATGGGGGTACTTCAATTACTTTTGCATTATCCCATTGCCTTTATTTTAGGATAAGGTATGCAGAAGTCCATGGAACTTCTCAGCATTTAGGACTGCAAGACTAAGAGTAACAATTGTTTACAGTGCTGTTCCCACAATAAAGCTGCCTGTTTAAGCCATTTCCTGGCTTTGTAATTCACTATTTCCTCCACGCTTTCCTTCTCTTTCACTTTGCAGACTTATTTCTATTGGAAGTTATTTTTCAGAAGGGCACCTGTCTCAGGCCAAGAAGTATCCATGGTTTCTCACTGCGCAACATTAAACTCCCCTCCCCAAAACCTGGGATGTGAGACCCTCCTTCTGCGCTGCAAATAAGGTTTGCGCGAGCTGCTTCTTACAAAGAGGGTTTTTCAATATAGAGACATTTGAAATTGTTATTCTGCATGTTTTTCTCTTAGGAATGTGTTCATGCCACTAAGCAGCTCTGTCCTACTTTCTGTGACTCCGATTATGACTGAGATAATATATACCCCAAGCTGACTATGTATAGCCTGCTTTCCTGCCGGATGGTGGTCTCTGCCTCCTGGTCATGGCTTATTCTCCCTTGCTTCTAAGTTTCAGCGGGTCACAAGTTCAGTATTTTGGAGAGCAATACTCCCTGCTGATGCATCTGTAAGTTCTCTGGTTTCTCCCCAAAAAAGGCCCTCCCCTCACCCGCATCTTAAAGAAAAGCACATGAAGTTGAGGCTTCTGGTTACTCAAATTCCATTCCCACACTTGTGCAGAGGCAGAGACCATCTCTGCCAAGGCTGAGGTCAAGCATGTTATTCCTGTGAGCTACTTCAAACAGGGTTAAAAGAAACACTGAACCTTTCTTTGAAATGCATGTGAAGCATCTTAGTTTCTAGGGTTTTACTGTTACAAATGAGACTCAAAGAATCTCCTCTGACCAATACTATCCAAAGAGAGACTGCAATTCAAGTTAAATTGAACTTATACATGAAGGACCATGCTTTCCATGCCAACTCACAAATTGTCTCACTGATTATAAAGATTAAAAACACAGGATCTGGCCTCCTAAGCTACTTACACTATCTATTAAGGTTGCTAGACTTGCTACTTTGAGGTCTTTCCTTCCCCCAGGAGTAAAACATAATAACTATCATATTAATGGTAGACATCATTTTAATTGTTGCTATGTACTTGCTTCAGATCAGCTCTTCAGAAGTTCAGCCAAAAAAGCTTAGATTTTTTCCCCTCCAGTTAAAATTTCTGCAGTCCTTTCCTCAAAGGCAATCCCTTCAGTGTAAAAAACAACAACAAAAAGATGGTTTTTTGGTCCTTTCATGGGCCAAAAAACTTGCATCCTTGGAAATAGGGCCAGACGTGGTCAAGTACCAGGTATGTGATATGTTACCCGTGTTCAGACTTTATCAGAAGAGGTAGCTCACATTCTGCCCTTCCTCTGCATAGCAGACATGTAACAGACGGCATAAACATACTTGTCATAGCGTTCCTCCTTTCTGATAACTTGAGATCAGAGTATTGGAGCTACTGCTGAAGCCAGTGTAAGTAGCGCTTTGAACACCTCTCACAAAAAGCACCCTGAAAAATCCAGTCATATGCCCGTGGTTGTAGTGAGGCTGCTATGGTACTGCTCTCAGCAGTCACAGGATCTGCTCATAGCTATTCAGCTTTAACTGATAAACTGCCTGTAGCCCCATGGAAGTTAAGAGAATTTGCTCTTTTGCATAAAACATGTGCGGTGTCGTACAGGTGATTCAAAACATGATCATTTCTCACACACACTGAATTTACTAGCAAGCAAAGCACGAAAATGCCAGTTTTCTAGATATTTGTGTTCTTCCAAATTCTGTAAATGAAAATCTTTCTAATTCTCCCCCCCCACAACATTATAGATGAATACAGAGAAGGGTTTCAATAATTTTTTAGTCTGTTTAAATACGATGTTAGTGTAGCGCCTGTGGATTGCTGTGGCCTTTAACACAAGTAAATCAGAAAGATTTGTTTGCATGGGAACTCAAGCACCCACAGAACAGTCTTGCCTCACTGTCAGTATTAGCTTCTATGAAGCCCTGAAATAAGCTTAGGGACTTCACTTTGCCCTTCTGCAGGGACTGAAGTTAGCAGATTCCTTGGCAACTTCAGGTGAAGATCTTCAGCAGTAAGTTGATGATGCAGCAAGCAAAAAACTACAAGGAGAAATCACTCAGTCCCAAGTACAAGGGCAGCCACACAAGCTGCAACATCCTATGCTAGTATAGCAATACTTTTTTCAGTGAAGACCATCATCTTACAGGTTTTCTTTTTCAATTTGAAGAGGACAGTAAATATGTATCGATAGCTGTTCATTAGAATCTTAAGCTGTGTTTTCTATTCAAAACCTCACACCAGGTTTATAAGAAAATATGCATCTGCTGGTATGGTTTGGTCAAGTTGTTGCCAGCTCAGGATCTTACTGGAAAGGAATTGAAAGTATTAAAATATTCTTTCAAAAGAATATACACAAGAAAAAAAGATCTGTTAGAGAGTTGGTCTAATATGCAGTGTTTCAGGACAAGGTGGGGTTTGTTGTTTGTTTGCTTTTCCCACTTTTTCCAGTAAAGGAGTCCCTTGGGAATTTGGTACAAGGATCAGTGTCAGTAATAAGAAGAGGCTAGATCTTTTAGCTTACCTTTTGTTGGCAGTAAAGTCCAATGCTGGAAGAAGACTTAAACTGACAAATAGGTAAAAATCAAGGAATAAAATTCATTGTTGTAATACATGAATAAAAATTAAGCTTGTGTATATGGGCCTCTCCTCACCACATTGGATAAGCATTTTAAGTAATTTTTGAATGTGAAGTTAGACTATTATGTTCCTCACCTCTCACCAGTGATCCATCTATTTTGGCTGCTCTTTCACAACCACATTTTGGGCTTACCGGTGAACTTCATTCAATTGTATATTTTTGCTATGGGAATTAAAAAAAACAGACAGAGAAGCATCTGCACTGGGATGGTTTATTGATGCTTTCAAGAGAGTCAGTCTTCCTGCGGAAGCTAATGGAACAGAATTTCTACTTCCAGAATATGTACCTTCTTCCAAAGAACAGATCTCCCTCTGCATAAGGCTTTGTTTTTCAGCCAAAGTGATCTGGTAAGCTTCAGCTTCAAGCTGTATGTAAAGATTTGCCTCACTGTATTAAGTCCATCTATTTTAGGTAAGTTTCACTGTCTCAACCCAAAATTTGCATCATATGACTCAGGCTAATAACTCTAATTGTTGTAGAAGTCTCAAGTCCTCACTTGGCATTGACAGCATGGGTCCCAAAAACTTGTCCAAAATTAATGCAATGGTTTTGTAATTTTGGATGAAACTACTTTTTCTACTGCCAGAGCACTTAAAGAAAAAAAAAAAAGAAAAAACAAGCCATGTAAACAATATAAATAGCATGGATCACTGCTATCTGCTTTGTCTTCCTTGAAAGCAGAAGAGAACTGAAAAGGAGCTGTTCTGCTCAGAGATCTTCATCAGGGTTTGTTACTCTTCACCATTTAAGAAGCGAGCTCAGACTGTATCGCTCTTCCAGTTTTTCCACAATAAAGCTTCTGGTTTCCTTGTGTCTGTTTTCTTAATAATGTCAGACAGTCATTACAGATCAATGCCCTTTACAAATTTACTTTGGAGGGACAGACAGGGAGGTAGATCACTCAATTAGAGAACACATTTGAAAGAAAGCAGACTAGACAATATGACTGCAGTGTTTCTCTGCAGCGGTAAGCTCTCGTACCAAAGTTAGCCCGTTAAGTTTAATAGTTAAGGAAAAACAGAGTGGGTATTTACTCACACACAATTTTATGAGAGGAACAACTGAAAAACACACTTTTTAGACAAACTGATATTACAACACATTAGTGGGCCACAGAACTCTTTAAAAAAATAAACCTTTTGAGACATGAGAATGAAATCACATTTTAGCATGCTTTAAATAGCTGAACTGCTCTTTGAAGCGTAAGTTTTCAGCTATTGGCAAAGACACTGACATCTCCTCATTTGGAAATTAAAAAGCATTTAGCAATAAGTTAAAGCTAGCCTACGTGTAAGTGGGCTAAATACCAGGCAAAGATTTTTCCCTTTTCACATTTAAGATGATACTACAGTTCATCACTCCTGTAGCTTATACATTGTGGTGCAACGCCCCACTGAAGTTTCACATCTACTCTGCGATAGAGAACAAGAGTAAACACCTTTCTTTTAGGATAGTCACAAATGGTAAAGCCAGTAGTATTTGTTTCTCCGTTTAATTGGATGTTTGCTGTTTATCACACACAAGAACCGTAAAGCAGAGTCCATGGATTCTTCCGAGCAATATGAAACCTCATGGTTCCATGCAAATTCAATACTGCCTCTCTCTCTTCCCCCTCCTCCTCTTATCTGCTGTTTTCCCCAGCCCACGATATGTTTCCAGCTATCTCCATCCAATTTTGAGAACCTTAAGGAAGAGAAGGTTTTACCTCATGACTTCTACCCAAGAGAGCCTGACTCCCGGCTTGTGTCGGGTCAGGTACATCTTAGACCACAGGAAGCTGGATGTTTTTCTTTTGAGGCACTGGAAGTTAGGCTAATAGTAATAGCCAAGTTGCCCAAAGCTAAAGGGACAAGTAGCTCTCATTGCCTTCCTATTTAAACACATGGCCAGTGAAGAAATCTTTTCCCTTTTTTCCCTGAAATACATTAAGTACAGCTTGCAGTAACAGATTCCCCACAGAGTCTTGCATTCATGCACCTGTAGTCCTAATGTATACTGTCCCGTTTTACTTTACAATTTCCTTAATCTCACAAGAGTCAGATACACACATCCTTTTTTATCTCATAATTATTATCATGTTTATATTTCTTCTTCCACATTCCCAAGCTAAGCCAAGACAAGCTCAGGGCTATGACAATGTTTTCGTGTACCTCTCTCCAGAGAGAGCTGCTGCAGCTGAACAAGACAATTGCAGCATGCTAGTTATACTTGGATTCAATGTGTGGTTGAAAAGAGGAGAATGACCAGTTTTCTCATCTGTCTATTTTCAGACATTTAGAAAACCCCACTGTCAGCGTCTTGAGTTAAAAAATAGGTGACATATTCAGACCCTAGTAAAACCACTTACGCACGTTAACTTGTTTAAACAAACATCCCCACCTCAAGTGACACAGTGGCCTGCAGTCTTCCTTCATCCATCCACAGAGCAAGAGTTATTTTTACTGAATCAGTAATCATGCATTGTCTTCCAGAGGAAACACTAGCCGGGTACCCCTGCTTGTAACTTCATGATCTGCTGCTCCCAAATCATGTTCCAGTGCTTCCTCTGAACTACTTTTTGTTCTCCTGCCGTCAAGGCTAGTGGTAGCTGTATGGGGGCCAGAAGAACCATTTGCAGTTATCGTTGTATCACCGTATGTCACGGTAAGGTCACCATCATTCAGAATAAAATCAGAATCCTCTTCTCTAAGCTGTTCTTGATTCTGGAAAAAAAAAGAAGAAAAAAAATCTTTGTACACTGCACAACATCTGGTCTTTGCCAAGAAGGTAACTGAACAGAAGAGTTTCATGTCAACACAGAAGCGGTAAAGTTCCACCTGAAGAAATGTTAAAAATAACCTTGAACCCAGTGTTTGCACATCAACTTACTGCTCCCTGTATAACTACTGCTATTGTGGAGAGACGAGGGGGAGCTGAAACCAAGAACTAGGTTATGAAACAGGTAACAAGGGATTTAATAGCACTGGAAGTTTACCAAAAGTGCAGGAGAGATGAGCAGTATGCACCGGTTTTTGCATGACAATTTAGAAGGCAGTACAGCAAAAAGACTGGAGACCAAGCACAATTAAGTCACTCCATATACAAAGCTGCATCTGTTGCTAATTAATCAAGTTCATTAGTAAAAGACTCATGCAAACTGGTAAGAACTCATTAGGCCCAAATTCTTTATAATCAAGGCTTCCTCAACAAATTTTTGTTATAGAGCAAAAACTAACCACACTCTTTTAAACTATCTGCTTACTCTTACCTGGTACTAAATAGAGAATTACTTGACCTAGTTCTTAGGAATGCTCCTGAGCCATAAAAGTATGAAAGACTGATATAAGAAAGTGCTTGCTTCATAGTTTTGTAAGTAGTTCCAATGTGTTTTCTTTTCAAAATCATTTAAGAAAGTGGCTCATAAAACCCTGTGAATTTATTTTGGCAGAGATGGGATGAAATATACGGTCAGAGACTAGAAATTGCTGACGTGTAACAAAACACTTAATTTCTCTACACAGCACAATACAACAGCAAGCAATTGTACCATGTTTCACTCCTGTTTAACATGATCTTGGTAAAAGGCAAAACAGCTGAATTGGTCAGAAAATGGGGTGTTCTCATATTTGAAAAAAAATTCTGTCAGTACTATAAGCTTGCTTTCTTGCAACCGAAAGCAATTATTTCCCCATGTGAATAGCTCCATAATTCTTAGCAAGAGCTGAAATATAAGTGTGTGTATTGCTGCTGTTCTTGGTAGGCTGGACACCGATCAGGCTACATTCTCAAAATACACCATTTTCTTCCACTTTGGCAAAGGAAGGAGGGCACAGGCTCCATGAGATAGGATGCCTGTGATCACCCTGACCAGAAATTCCTACTGGTATTGCAGAACAGGAGTTCAGGGCACTTGAGATTGAAAATGCTGATTAACCTGTCCACGATGAAAAATGCAGTGCCTGGCTAAATAAAACTTCCTGGGAAAGCTTCCTGTCATTATTTCAGAATGATAATCAACGAAAATAAAGCAGCAGAAGCCTCTAGATGATACAGAATATTTAACTAACGAGTACTAGAAGAGGTGTCAGAAGTTTACCAAAACCAACAAAAGAAATGGTGCACAGTTCAGTGCCAGGTGCAAGACAAGCCTACTTAGAATGAATGCCAATTTCTCAGAACCTTCATGGCATCCAAATTTATCATCGCTTATTAGAGACAGGGTTACTGTGACAGAGAACACTGTTCTCAAAGAGCAAATACAGTTTAGGACACTTGCTTTCTTTGATTGCAAAAACCCCACTGAACTACCATCACTATCTTAAAAAGAAAAAAAGGCAGAAATTAAAGGGTTCAGCTATAGTTGGTGGAAAAGCCTTTACAAGTTTTCCATTGCAAAAAAGGGAAAGTCTGAGGGACAAGATCAAGATGATTAAAAAAAGGTACACAAAATAATCGGCTGTTTAAGAAAATCTGATATCCCTATATATTCTGTTTTTGAGGAAGAGATATTCAAATAAAGATGAAAAATGAATAAGAAGCAGGCAGTTGGTGACTAGTTATGTTTTAAGAAGTTGAAGAAGCTGAGAAGCTCTATCACAAGTTGCCTTTGACGGTGTTTGCCCTTGGAGAGGCACCAAGGAGGGGAAGGCAGGGCTAACAGCGCACCAGGAGGTATCGCAATACCAGGGCCACGTGTGAAGCGGCTGCAGCAAGCTCCCAAAGCATCTCCTGTCTCCACAATGCTATTTAACAGTGAATCCTTGCAGCCACCTATCAGATAAGAAACTGGTAAGAACACACACTACACATGAGTTTCCCTGAAAGGCTGAAAAGCTCTTGGAAGCACATATGGAAAGGAGAGGGCCACAGGCTTTATACTACATGGCAAGTCCTAACTCAGTCTTTGCTGGTTTGTCCCAGGCATGTAAACATGATCAGCTCCAGAGAAAACACTGAGCTTTCTCTCAACATAGCGAACAAACATTGCCTTGTATGAGTCAAGTTCCACTTATTTATTTCACTTCTAAATAGCACTGCAAGCAGCAGGCAATTTATTTCATATATTTCCCCAGAGAACATTCATGAACAATCCCATGTAGTATATGGATTTGCTATGTTTGCAAGCAAAGAGGATGGGTGAATAAATCTACTGTGCTTCATGCAGCATGTACAATTCTTTCAAGACAGACAGGAAATGTATCCAAGTAGATCCCCAGAGACTTGAAATTCTTCCAAGAATAACCCTAAACTGGCCTCTGCAATCCCCTACAGTTCTGTAGGAATAGCTTCAATTCACTCAAAACACATAGGTCTGAACTTCACTACTTAAACTGACAAACTAGAATGGCTAAGTACCTAAATCCAAAACCCTACAAAAGACCGAGTTTTGCTTTGATGTGCTGACCATAACCCTGAGGGACCTCACAGCATTCTGTCCCATTTGTGGTAAAATCTGCTCATGTTCCTAAGAATGTGTGCTGGAGACGTTAAAACAGCTAAAGCTTATTTAGAGTTACTGCTTACAAAGCCAGTCTTTATTGCCTCCTAAGGCAGCGCAAAAAGAAGCACATGCAAATTATGCCGCACATACAAAGCGCTGGTAGTCATCATGTACGCTGCTGATGCTGAATACAACACTGGCATCATGGATGACAAAACTTGCATTAGAAGTTACTTATCTTGTGGCTCCAAGACAAAAGCATCAAGTAGTATGCATGTAAGACTTAAGGTGTAGTAAGTCTGATGCTCTGCTTCTTTATTTCTCACCTGAGTTCAAATTCATCAAGGAAACTAAACAACTGTTGCTATTAAGCTGGAAGCACTATGAAAGGGGAGAGGCAAGGCATGGCTGAACAGTTTTCTTACCGATTTTGAGGGTTACCTCCTCCAAGACTTATATAGACTGCAAAGGAAGTTTCTCTACTGGGTTTGCATATTTAGAAAAATAATTCTGTTCACTATACTTTCACACCAAGTTGTCACACTGTGTGTGGTGCAAGAACTAAATTTAAAAAAAAAAAAAAAAAAAAAGGGTGGGATCATGTGTAGGACAGAAAACACACCTCTGAACAAACAAACAAAAAACCCCCAGGAGTGCTTCATCAGGAAGAGCAGATAACACAGATGCTTCTTCCAAATGGGATAAATGGTTGATGAAATAGAGAATTAATAAAAGTTTCAACCGGCATGTCAAAAAGGAAGGAAAAAAGTGACCTACATTAGTTTGGGATACATTGGAAAGCCCTGCCAAATGGTCATGCACTGAAGATAACACCAGGAGAGAAAAATAGGAGTGAGTTTTTGAAAATGATCATTTTAAACACTAACCACAGCAGCCTTTAGTGCTTTTAAGTTCCAACTTCGATTCTCTTCAGGTGGGAAACACTTAATGGTGAGCCTAATGGCACAGTCTTAAAGCAGTGGGAGAACAGCAGCAAGGAATAGTAACCACAGCTCTGGAAAAAGCAAGCAGCTCTGGAAAAAGCAGAAACTCCAAGCAGTTTCTGTCCCCCCAGAGACATGGCGCTCTCAGTTGCTTCACCTGCACTTAATAGGAAGGCAAAAGATTTCACAGCTTTTTAGCCAGTAATTAAAATGGTATAGTCACAGTGCTGTAGCGAAGCCAGCCATGCAAAGAAACGAAAAACAATACAGCAACTGCAGAGTTCTTGAAAAGAAACTAGAAATAAAATATCAAAATTATATTCTTTCCTAAGACTAATGCAGCAAGGCACCAGAATAGGAAAAAGAAGAGAGAATACAATGTGAAATTTCCACATTATACACCTTAATAAAGTATGCAGCCTTATAAGCAGTTTTAATGATGAAGTTAACATCCCAAGAGGGAGAGAGAGAGTGTGTGTGTGCAACAGAACCAAGCCAATTAAAGAAAGTTTCCACATGTGGTAGTAGCTAAGAAAGAGAAGTAAAGAGAAAAAAAAAAAAAGATAGTTTAGAGACTCTCTTTTATAGAGAACTGTTAGAGAAAATGAAAGCCAAAGCTTGCATATTCATTCTGGTTGGATCCTCATTACTGGATAACTAATCTTATAAGATCACACATAGATAGACACATGGGCAACACACAAGTAGGCTAATTGGTCTGATGGATGCCTTCCAGCCTAGATCTGTTTTAAGATCTCCAGTGGCATTGCAAAGATGGGAACAAGGCCAATTTCTTGCACTACTAATAGCTCCAAATAGGCAGCAGACATTTCAAACTTCTTTGAAGCTTTACTATCATGTAAAAGATGCTAATGATACCAGAAAGAAATGCAGGGAAGTCTTTCAAAGTTGCAAGTGGAATTCATAAATCTCTAGGAAAAGATTAATAGAAATCTGGTCCAAGACTACTTGAACATAGCAGAGATGTTACCATTCCAGATAACATGCAAATTTGAGTGATCCCACATATAGTACTATGGTTTTATTATACAAGTGGCTCAGAAAAAGTTGTAGATTTCAGAAGCACTGTACAGATAGGAATGACATGTATCAGGATCCTGCAAAAGTAATAGGAGAATGAAGCATTAATTATTACAAGACATGGCCGTAAAGACAGTACAGTGACCTACTAGACTGAGATAAGTAACTGATTAACAGTTTCCAAACTGTGATCTCAAATTTCACAGTGGAAACAATGAAGGGAATCTCTACCAGATTTCTTTCCGACATGGGTAAACGCGTCAGTGTCTTCTCTGAAGGAGACCTCAACGCAACCTTAGCGGTAACAGGAAAAGAATCCTGTCCAAAAGTGTTGAGAAGGGACTGAATATTTTGAAGTGATTCACTGAACTGGTTTATTGACTAGGTCTGTAATTTTCCAATATCCTTAAACGTTATTTTTTTAATGTAGTATTTGAACAATAAGATCATGTCTGATTTCTACTAACAGAAGCTGTTGCCTCAGGGGAGATTATCTTAAATCTTTTCTGCCTAGGACAAACCAGTACTTTCTTGCAGTATGTATATCATACCAACCTTTTGCCTAAAAACAAAACAACTGCTTTGCTGAAGTTAAATAAATAAAAAACCAAAACCACAGAAGTATTGAGTCATTCTACTTACATCATAAACCTGGGGACTTGTCAGACAGCGGGCTATCAGGCCACACCAGCTGGGTAGAGTTGTGGTTAACGGAGGGCCACTGTGAGTGAGAATTGGCTTTAAATAACTTAAGCAGTTAAGGAAAACACATCAGTGCTCGAAAACCATTACTGACAATAAAAAGACAATTGCACATAAATGTGGTTCTGCCTTTGATCTATGTGCTGCTCAATAATTGTATATAAAACATCCATTGAAAAAAAAAAAATCTGCATTTGCAAACAAATACATGAAAAACATCTTCCCCCAACATTTTTCCCTTGATCCTTTTAAGGGCAGTTTCTTTACCCACACATTTACTGCAAGGGGAACTAGCTACCTCTCTTCTTAAAGCTTCAAGCAGCTGCAACAGTTCCAGCTTTTGGGCTCTCTGGAGCCAAAAGGAGCAAGCAGCGGTACAAGCACTTTGATTGTAATAGGTCCAAGGGTGTTTCTGCTCTGCAGACGGGAGCTTGGTGTCAAGATTGCAAGCTAGGTGTGTCACCTTGTTACCTCTATGTGGCTCAACACAGAGAAATAAAGAAATACTGTCCATCCAACATCCTCCAAGTAATGCAGCCACCTGAACTGGTCCACTGCTAGCTGGTCACTGAGCCACAGAGAGGCAACCGGAGATCTTACTCTGGTAAGGCTCAGACATGTCTGCAGCGCACGTATACATACCACACAGAGCCTCAGAAAGGCACAGGGAAAACTGTATGGCACAAACCACATAACACAGCATGGAAGGAAAGCATCTGCCCAGGCAATGCTACCTAGATTATGTTGAGGAGGCATGGGGGTGGGAAGGGAAGGTGTCTTTACACCTCTCCTCATAGGTCTGCCCCAGGTAAATCCACATTTGTTCACGCTAGTACTCCAGACTGATGATATGCCTGAGGAAATGCTCAGGAGTCAAAAAAAGGTGTCCCTGCTACAAAGCAGCACGCTGATCTTGACTGGCACAAGAACAGAGCTCAGGAGGAAAGTGCTAAGACTTCCAAACACCATCTAAAATCAGGACCAGAAGGTCTTTTTTTATTAAGTCACTCTGATTATTTTAAATGTAAAAATATATATTGCAGGTATTCTAGTTACTTTCTTAGGCCTCTAAGCACAGGGAGGATCAAGTCCACTTGTGAAATATAGCATGGTTTCCCTGATGCTCTCAACAGATCAGGTGCTTGGGGGAAAGAGGGAGTTAAAAAAGGGGGCTGTTTTAGCAGAGATGTATCCCTCCTCTTTAGCAGAGCCTGGCATAGCATGTTTACTTGAGCACCTAACTGCATGATTATGCCACTGCAAAGTTGTATTTCCTCCTTCCCTCCCCCAGTAACAGTGTGGCTACACCCAGTCCTGGAAAGAAAGAAACTCTTCCCCCTTACATTAACCTACCAGCCTCTACGTTGCCCTGTGGCAGACAGGCACGCAGTGACTCGGTCGTGATAAAACAAACCCAGTAAAAGACACCTGGTACTCCATCAAAGTTGCAGTTTTCTTCGTGTTTAACAATTGTGGGTGAACCCAGGGAACAGCCCATGACATTAAATGAACTCTGCATTCCATAGGAATGAAGTTCCCAGTTATCCATCCACACAGAGCTCTGCAGGCAAGAGCCAGCGTTGGAGCACATTGCCAAGTGCATCTTACTTGCACCTTTTTCAAGTTAAGTTCCCTTGCAAAGAGAGAATTTTGAGACAATCTGGCTTTCTACCCACAAACCAAGTGAATGCATCAGCAAAAAATATTTTGACATTTAGCCATGGGTACAGAGGTGGAAATCCTTGCACCCCTTCTGTGCAATTTAAGCCCACCCAGCCAATGTTTATCTGAATGTCTCCTTGCAACACAAGGAACAGAATTTTACCTCTGAGATACAGTAAGACATTTCTGCCTCTGGATGTGTGTTTCCTTGGCACAAACTTCACAGAAACCTTCCCTAAAGATTGCTAGTCACCACAGAAAAAGCAAGTGCACTACCACCATCCTTTAAGTTTCTGTGAAACAGCTAATTAAGCTATAATTTTCACCTAGCACTCCCCCCACCCTTGCTGCAGCTGCTAGGGACTGAACTTATGCTAGCTTCAGCTGAGGGGAAGCCAGCATTGCCAACTACTCCTTTTTTCATTGGGCACATCCTTTCTGTAAAGGCAGGGGAAGAGGATAGCTCTGCTTCCTTCTTACAAAGACAAAAAAGCAGCAGCCAGCCACAGCCAGATCCTTCCGTGCTCTTACCACAGAATTCTTCTTTTTTTTTTTTTAGGTAACAAAAATTGACCTCAATACACTTTGACACCAGCCACTACAATTCAAAGGGTTAATTTGAAATTACTAACATTTATGAATATTTAACTAGCACATACACTCCCTTCTGGGTTTTGACCCAATACTACTGCATCTGAAAGCATCAGTCAGGATAAAACCAGATTTTATCATGAACAGGCAAGTGCTATTGGGATCTGAATGCTTTCATCACTATACCTGGGTGGGAAATGTCGATGCACAAGGCATGGAAGGAAACTACTGTGCTCCAACCAGGCCAGCAATCTCTCATCAACCAATGGCCAAGACCCCAGTGAAAAGACTCATTTCTCAGATACAAGCTGCAACAAGATTAAAGCCCTGTCACAGGCATTTACATACATTTGACTGCCCCAGAAATTACTAGGAATCAAGAACTGAAACTTCTTTGAATTTCTGGGTGTAAGTGACTTGCCATGGCCATAAGATTATCTTTGCCATTTTCCACTAAGTGAGTGTAAGCTGTTAAGGAGGGGTACCTGTCTGGTATACTGATTAAGAAGTAGACTAAAAAACCACAAGCAAGTACACTAAGTTATGCTAAGTAGACTAAAAAACCACAAGCACAAAAGACAGGATAGCTACACCGAAATTGCTCAGAAGCTTAAACAAGGCTATCTAAATAGTATAATAATAGCTTCAGAAAGGTTGTACAGTACTGTGTACACAAAAGGACACTCTCTGCTTTAACACCCACAGGAAGTTCTGGATATACTAAGGGAATAAACTAGATCACATGTAGATTTTCAGTTCCAGAACTTCCCGTATCAGCAATGGGTTTCCAAAGAGGACTTCATCACAAAAGCAGATGGCTCTTCAGAGCAACGAGTGGGGGCTTAGACACGTAGAATGAACTGGAAAACTAGTTTGTGCTATGAGCATCAGTGAAGATGAGAACAGATTAATGGAACAAATCAGAGGATCTGAAATAGTTAATTTGCTGTCTTACTGTTTAGGAAGGAACTTCAGCTCCTAGAACTGACTGGTTTCTGTCCTCCAGCAAGTGCTACATACCATGCTTTAAAGAAAGGAAAGGTCCATCTTCTGAGTCAGCAAGTTCAAGCTCCAGTTCTGTGCCTTGAACCTGTCAAATACTTGATCTTTCTCCTGTTTGACACTCTCAAATGCTTAAGGCTACATATGGGTACATGGAAAGGAAAAATGTGAACAATTTATGCCTTGAAGCTAAGCTGTGTTTTCAAAAGGATACTTATGGTCAAAGCTATACCATAGTCTGAAGAGCCAAGCACTTTCCTGCTTTGTCCTGTTCCTTCTTTCAGAATCTGGGCCATCCTAAAAATAAGATAAAAAGAGACTCAATTATTTCAGGCAGAAAAAACCCAAATCATACATTGCAGTCATTCATGTTATAATGTCTTGTCCAAAAAAGCCAAATTACTTCAATACTGTACTTGGACTGCAGAAGAAAGCTATTTAGAGACATACTTATACTGAGAAGGTTACTTTCCTTAGAAAGACCAGAAAAGACTGCAGAGGAGAAGTAGGCCCTTGTATTGGGTTTGTCTGGCAAGGTTTTGGGAGTGGGGGGGCTGCAGGGGTAGCTTCTGTGAGAAGCTGCTAGAAGCTTCCCCTATGACAGAGCCAATGCCAGATGGCTCCAAGAGGGACCCACCACCACGGGCCAAGGCTGAGCCCATCAGCAAAGGTGGCAGTGCCTCTTGGATAACATACTTAAAAAGGGGGTGGGGGGAATCTGCAGAAACTGCAGGTGGAGAGAAAAGTGAGAATATGTGGTATTCATTACCCTCAAGTTACCTTAATGAGCCCTCTACCACCAAGTTCCCTTGAGTCTAAAAGCTTATCACACAGTTAATGCAGTAATAGAGACAGAAATAAGTCCAAAATTTACAAATAAGCCTCATTGATATCCCATCCCCATCCTCCTCCCAAAATAAATGAACTGGAATAATCCAGACTGATCCCTATTCATTGCTTGATTGGCTTCCTTAACTCTAGGTCTATTCGATGTTCTTTCTTTAAGCCTATTGCTTCCTTGGAAGAACAAGGGAATTTACCGTACCTGATAAAAATCTCGCAAACCTGATGAAAAATATCACACTTAAGAGAACATGCTTAACAGGGAATCCATATAAAAACACAATTGAGGAAGGTCATGCAAATTTTGTAAGTGCTAGATCAAGCTCAGATATATCTAACATTGCTAACGGTATTAAATAGAATCCCTTTACTAGCTGTGCTGCAAGTCACCACACCAGCTGGTCTGCAGCTGCATTTATTTTTGCTTTTGTTACTGTTTTGGGCTGGGTTGTTTTTTTTTTTTTTCGGCTGGCAGCCAAAGTTAAACACAGGAAAACAGATGAAGTGAGAACGCCTTGTATGAATCATCTTCCAAACTACTGGGAAAGACAAGACGGGATTGCCCTGTGTGCTTCTGGTCTGCAAAAAATCCATGATCCACCAAGAGTTAAAGCTTAGTACATTTTCACTCCCAAATGATGTATTTTCTTTTAACTGTGACATGCTGCTAATCTTGGCTTGGTGAAAAAAAAGGAATCCAAAGGGAACTGACTAATGGAGTCCATTAGGAATGCGATGCACAGCTAAAGAGGGAAACAAATGGGTAAATGCTCTCTATTTACATGGGAAAAAAGCAAACAAGTTATTTCCACCCAGACACTGAATGAGAATGTAATACCCGTGCTGTGTTTCTTGTTAAAGCAATTCCTCGAATACTGACAAGTTTAGTCTGAACTGGCCAAAGCCATTTTACGATGATACCGCTTCCCAGCCTTAGTTTTATACAATAACTGTGGCCTTCATTGCAGAAGGTGTTTTGAGGTCTGGCCTTCTGGTTGCTTGCAGATAGCTGCAAAACCAAGTTCACCCTTTTTGGTACCCAAACCCACCATTTCAGAATCTATTTTGTGTGCTGTACACAAAGAACACAGAGGTGCCTAACACAGTTTCTGCAATGAAAGAGATGCTTCCTGAACAAGTAACTCTTATCTGTACAACCTGTGACAAAGGGAAAAAAAAAAAAAAAAAAAAGGCAAGGCAGGAAAAACCACTAATAAGAAATCTGATCCCAAATACAGCAAGTATCCCATGCACGTATCCATGACCAGCCGCAACACCGGCATCATACAACTTGAGGTTTACAAAGCAGAGTTCACACGCTTGCACCCTATGCATCTTCTGGGTCCAAAGTCATCTGTCTTTCCTGCCATTCAACTTCCTCTAGCAGGTTCCTACATAAGCAACCACTTCTGCTACTGAACAATGACTGTCAAGCAGTACTCTGGAAGAGTGCAAACTAAGGTCTGGACAGAGGAAGCTCCCAGTTAAGCCTCAGGAAATGTTGGGTTGGGCTTTTTTTTTCCCCAGACCTTTCACTCCTGTGAATTCACTCAGTTTACAGATGAGGAAGAATGACATTTCTGCTACGAACAACATTCTTCCGATAGTCTGGTTTGCCAATAGCATTGCAGGGAAAAAAGTCAACTCTTGGGTTGTTACTGATGCATAGAAAGCTGCACTAAAGATTCACAGCAACAGTTTGCTGAATATAAATGACAATTTTCCAGTGCTCCTTTTGCCTCATACAGGCGGTAAGTAGTACAGGCAAGATCCAGCTGGCTTGTGGTATGGTATACAGGAGCTGAGATCAGAATAGCAAACTTAATCTTTGATTCTAAGCAAGTCCAAGGGCCAAAATTTGGTATCAATTATTGAACAGAAGCGAAGACAATTGTCTCCGGATCAGTCTTGGGGAGGACTGTTTATGCTGTAGCATGTTAAAAGCAAGCATGTTAGGTGGGCGGAGGAAGAGGAAAGCACATTGTTAAATAGAGTGTATTAGTAGATTTGGGAAGGGTTTTGATGCCTTATATATATATACACGTATACACAAAAATTTGAACGCTGCAGCATTACATGCAACACCACAGAATGGTTTTCGGTGGGCATTACTTGAATATTATAAAGTAAAATGCATTACTGACTTGCCAGCTAGGAGAGAGAGGTTTTATCCATGCACGTAGCTTCTGCGGTTCTTTATTGTCTCAGTTATAAAATAAGATCAGCCTAATAGAGAAGTTATGTAATTACTTACTCCTTGTAAGACTTGAAAGCTGTCATTAGTAGGTGGAGGATCCTGATCTGGGTCAACCCCAACCCTACAGAAACATTAGGAAAACAAAGCAAGTGGCGTTACCGAGGGTTGCAAATGCTACAAGTTTGGCGGAATGCATTTTAAAAGCACTTTAAGCACCCAGCAAAGCTGCATTCAGAGAGGTTATAAGAACAGTTTGAGGAAGAGCTGTCCATTATTACCCTACGGTAATAGCTATGAACAAGATACTTTCTCACGCAAGCAGCAATTACCTGTAGATAACAGCTTTAACTCCATCTTGGCATCAACTTTAACTGGCTTACCTTTGTTGCCAATTCTTCTAGGACACTGGCAAAGACTATTTTTGGCTTAAAAGTTGAACTGTGGCTGGCATCCTCTTCAGAGGAGAACATCCCCCATGTCCAGCAGCAAGAAACCAGAGACTATGGATAAGCCCAGCCTAAATATTTGACACAGCAAATAACTTAGCTGCCAGATAGGCCTGAGAATGGCTCAAATATACGATTAAAGAAGCCACACACACCAAGTTTTAATGTACTGTGTGAATCAAAAAAAATACTTTATAAAAAGACTCATAATATTAATTTGCTGCAAGTTTCGTTCACCTAACACAACACAGCCACAGTGAATTAACAAGAGGTCTGTCTAGTCCAGCCTCCCACCTGAGTGAGGGAGGGTCTGTATAATGAGATGGTGGATGATTACAGAATAATATATTAATAAGAAACTGTCTACTCACTTTTCCATAGTTAGTGAGCATCTTATTATTGAACCATCCTTTCACATAGTGCTCCTAACCAAGATGGGTATTTAATCCTTGTAATTATGTTCATGTTTTTCTGGTCTGTTTTGGGCGTAGCTATTTGTTAAGATTAGACTTATGTAGTTTTAAATCCTATTCATGCCTTAATCTCTGTGCTCTCTTGTAGAACCTAGACCTCCAACCTCAAACGTTAGGCAAGATTGTCAGTCTCAAACGTGTTGTGTTTCAGTCCTACCATGTTGCACAGTAAGTGTAGGAAAATCCATGCAATAACAAAAACATATTGTCTGAAATGGTTAACTTCTTCATTTGCCCTCTCTTGGAAGGGACTGAGCTGGTTTAGTGCAATTTCTTTGTTACCTAGACTTTGTGTCAGCTATTTCTAGTCACATTTTTTATGCAATATCCCTGAGGATCGCCAGAAACCAACAGAACCTTGCTCGCAAGACCATATCATTTGTGTGTCCCAGGGACGTGTGCTTGCATAAGGGAAGCAGCGATCCAGACATGATTTATCTTCAGGCACAGAAGATGGCATGGATTAAACTAAAAGGCAACACCTTCAAATAACTTCCAGGGCAGCACTTTCTAATAGTACAAGAAAAGGAGAAAAGTAGGCATTGAACTGAAGTTTTAGGTCATCCTTGTGGACTCACGACCAATCCAAGGCCTCACACGACTTAATGTAGTTCAGGGGAAATCCAGAAGGCCACTCTAAGACAGCCCACAGCAGCCTCATATAGACCTAGTGCTGACCCAGTCCCCTGCTTGTATTTTTCCCCGAGTCTCTTTTCTTTCCTCATCACTTCCTTTTTCCGCATACAGAGTCATCTTAACCCTTACGCACATTTGGCCTGGGAATTCATTGGCACTGACCGGGCTCCAGACTAAAAAGCTTCACCAGTTTAAGGGAACACTGGACAGACAGATTGGGTACTGGATTGTAACACATGCTAAAACAAAATGACACACACAAGAGCTCTGAAAGGTTACAAGGGCTTAGATGTTACTGCTTAGGCTATCACTAAGGAGCGAAGGCATGGTAAGAAGGGGTTTCTGCAGGCAAACGAGTTACCTAACGAAGCCTCATGCACAAAGCTGACAAGCAACGTCAGAAAACCCGCTCAGTACGGCAATATATATTAAGATTGCGCATTCCTTTATAAATATACATAAAAGAAAAGAGATTTGTGGCTTTCCAAACGCCAGCTGCACACTGGGGAGGTTCAACACACTATGCACAGCAACCACGCTCACGTTAGCTGCGCAGCTGGCAATATGAAGAGGGAGTTCAAGAAGCTCATTCCAGAAGATGAACATAGCTTGCATTCCCTAAATAGTTTTAACTCACTGGGCTACCCATTCACTTCACAGTACATAAGAAAACCAAACAATTCAGAATGTCTCAGCTTTTCCTTGACTTACAAGGTTGTGCATCTGTTTTGGGGATTTTAACTGCCCTTAGGCAGGGGAAGGAGCCTTAGAGGAGGACCAAAGCAGGATGACCATACTGTTCAGTGAAAAGTCATAGTACATCACAGGCCAGGTGCTTGGGTTCACTGCTGTGCTGAAGAGGAAAAGAGAGCTTTTCTATATCAAAGTGGTTCAACTTTTAGAAAAAAAATTCCTACTACAGACATTTCTTTCAATATTGAAACAGTACATCAACACAAACTTGTCCATTTTACATTTTTTTTCAAAGTTATTATTCAGGTGAATTTATATTTTGAATATTTCTAACTAATTCTTTTCTATAAATCACTTTTTTTAAAGTTCATGTTTCAAAGTGTGTTCCTCAGTTCACAGATTAACACAATACACATTATTATTTTGAATTCCCATGACTACTTTTTGTATCTTTCAACCAGCAAACTGTGTCTCTCATCCTCTATTCTAGCATGAATTGTTTAGGAAGCTTTATTTTTTTGTAGCAAGTCTGCCTTTTTAATGTTTCAAGGTATATAGACCCTAGTCCATGATAAGCATCATGTTTTTGCAGGCCCTGCCCCCAAATTTCTAAGAAAGTCTCATCTTTATCACCTGAAACAAAACAATACCAAAAACCAGTCAAGTCTCTCCCAACCTCCTTTACAGTGAAGAGAAGCACAGAAAACATTTTGTTATTTCATCCTTATTTAACTACTTCCATAATTAAAAGTACAAGTAAAGCTGATGCATGTATGTCTTCAACATAACTCTTTTTCTGGTGGTTAAAAGAAAGAAATCCATCTCACATCCTTAAGGACATTTAAAAAGCTTCCTGTAATTTAAATGTGCTGTAAAGGCCAATATCAGCTCTCATTTAACCAGTTTTTAAATTAAGAAAAATTATTACTGGATTGATTTACATAGATCCCCTCTCAGAGGTCAGGGGCACAGAGAGGGTAGCCTTGCTAATGACTGTGGTGGTTTGCTCAAACCCCCTAGCAGAAAGGCAGGCGAGCAAGCAAGCTCTGGTTGAAAACAGTGTTTTGCTGAAGAGGCACAGACTGCGTGATGAGGACTGGGGGGCACGTTGGCTGTGGGACAGCCAAGGCCAGGGCAGTGCAGATGCCAGCAAGCATCTTTGTTCCCCCTCCCACCCTTTCTGAAAGCCCAGTGCAGCACTTGTGTGTGGACTCCAAAGTACCGTGTTTCTGCTCTTAACTGACTCCTGACCTTCTTGGTCCTTATTCTACAGCTAGAACTCCAGCATCAGATGTAGGAGAGCAGTTGCTCAGATTTGATCCCTCAAACCCTAAGCCTATGCATAATTCAGTAATTTAAGTAGCATGGTAGAAAATGTGGGATGCAAAGTGGAAACTAAGTGTATACAAAGGAATGGTAAAAAAACCAGATAGAACTACTTCAAGTTCTCCACTATATAATTTTAGAATGGGTGGAACCATTTCTTCTTATACTTCAAAAACCCTTCCAAGGCCCTGCGACACATAGATGACAAGTTACCAAAATACCAGGTTTTATTACATTCTAGCATAGGTAATTAGTGTGGCAACAGCCAAAACTGACTGTAATAGATAACAGTTCTCAAATTCTCTGTACAAGCTAATTTAGTAGTTGGCTGGGAACCCTCAAGTTTGACAGGATACATGAAAAACTTACCATTGCCTCACCCCAAAGACTTTTCTTTATATAAATACACTGCATATATTTATATATAGATACACATACATACAAATACACACTCTCCTATAGCTGCCAGTTACAGATTCCCCCCCCCTCCGCCTCCCCACTTTCTTCTCTATCCATGTATCAGTTCTAGAAACCATCAGCTGGAGAAGACTAGGATTCCAGTTTATCTCCACTCTTATTAGCATCTTCCTATAAAGCAATGTGATAACCCTCAGTGTTTAAAATACATCCCAGAGAGGCTGGGCTAAATCATCTATGAAGTCCCTTCCAACCTGAACAGTTGTATGAAATAACCCCAAGGAATACGTAAAAATACCCGTGTGATTAAAGATCATGGGTTCACATCCATGATTTATCAGCTTTCAAGTCTTCCCAGGCCAGAGACAGTAATTTTGCTTCATTAATTACCACCCATACACAAGAGTTAAAGGATGTGGTGTTTTGTGGGTTTTTTTTTAAGCTAAAGACATGATGTGTGGTCCACACTCTCCCAGCTCAGAAGAAGAGAACAGACTCAGAATTAAGGAACATCTACGGCACTCTGCAGAAGAGGAGAAGCAGCAGCAGCATGCCATAGTATAGAAAAAGAGCACATACTTAGTGTTATAAAGATGAAGAAAGCCAAGCACCAGGTTAATTTGGTATAAAAGAAAGCACAGTGTCACCTGAAATACAGCCAGCGGCTTTCACTCATCTCTTCCATCAATGGAACATGGTCATCAACTCTGGTACAGTACAAGAATGCAATGTGAGGAACAAAACGCTCATGAGATGATAGCTTTACAGAGCTCCCTAGCAAAATAAAACAAACCAACAGAAAACCCCTGCCCAATCAAAAAAGACAAAGCATACAAGAATAAGAATGGCAGAACAATGACAAAGTGACAAAAATCATAAAAATTAATGACAGCAGCACTTTATGATTGAGATGTCCAGTAATATTCTTCATTCCTTCAGATTCAGGCTGACAAAACACCTGTATTCATGACAGGCTACCTCCCCCAGAAAATTAGATTCAATAGCTCTCAAGAGAGCTGCTACACAGAGATGGAGCCAATCTGAGACAATTCCTACCACTTCAGACCTGCACATGGTCTAAAAGAGAAAAAGTCATTAGAGAAAGTCATGACAGGCCATCACTACTGCCT